TTTTTTTTTTCCTCCAGCGGAAAAATAAAAATGTTCTGAAACCAATAATAATTTATTTTAATAAATGTATTTTGCGTTCAGCACAGTCGACGGTACGGTGACTCAAAATGGAATAAAGAGAAAAAGCAGCAAATATTCTCTATTTTTAGTTAAAGAATGACTCATTCAAAGCTGAATTCATGTTCAAAATATAACTCACTTCTTAATCGATTTTCAAAAAACCCATTTGAGCAGTTTTCCTATTATGTTTATATCTATTTCCTAATTCATGTCTATTTGTGTTGGATTTTCTAGCCCAATGGTTCTCAACAGCAAATCTGAATCATCTTGAGGTTTTTAAAGGGAACAGACAATGCTACTTTTCTCTAATGCTACCCTTTTCTTAGCCACTTAAAATCTTTAAAAAAGTAATAGAACATCTCTGCACAAAAGGCCATAGATAACCTTAGATGAGCGGCAACAGAAAAAAAACAACAAAAACAGAAATCACGATTTTAGTCTACATTTGCACACATATTTAAAGCTAGCGGGTCTCATATTTTAATTACTTCTATTGATCTAGAGCACGCTTTGACTTGTGTACATCATTAACTGCTATGCAATTATGAGGCTCTTATGGTGCGTAAACCCTACCTGCAGAATTGTAGTTGAATATTGTTAAACGTGAAGGTCAAGAAGGACTGCGCCACAGCTTGGTCTTCTTCTTCTCGGTTGCTGATGCGTCTGAAAGTGCTGATATTTAGAGAGAACGTTCTGATTTACATCAAAGGGCTGCATATTTTTCACTGGCCTACTTTCTCACCACCACACTCTCTCCCTCAGGTACATTTTTCACGTGCTGCAGAACTCTATCGCCCTCTCCCCGTTCATACAAGCTAAGCATCTGGACCGTAAGGACCCCTCCATCAGAGAAGAGTGGATGAAGGAGTTGAGGAGCTACAGGGGCGGCGGGCAGGTCAAACGCTCTAGGCTCTCTACCCCACCCTCTCCCACCCTGGAGACCCCTGTGGACTTCATTCACGAGTCTCTTGCGGTTGCTGATATCATGGGGGATGATTTCACACTGAATGCCATAGCTAAAAACTAGCAAAAGTCTGCAGACTCACAGGGAACATGAAGGGAAAAGGAATTCTAAGATGATTATTTATTCAGAGGATTTTATATATATGAAGTCCCCCTGTATACATTAATGTTTCATTTTTGAAATGCAATCAGGGAGATACTGCTGCTCTCTAACTGGAGTTTATTTTGCAATAAACTACGTGACAAAAGCATGTGGGCCGTCTGTTCCTTCCTCTCCTCCTAACAAAGTAACACATAAGCCTGTTAGTTTCCTGATGAGGTTTCAGCGCATAGTGGTAACCCAATTAGTCATGCCACCCACCCCTTCAAAAAGTGGCACTTTTCCAGGACAAAATGCTTAGCTGCTTTAATGTGGTCCTCTCACCTAGATATCCTAAACAGCCACAGTTACAGATCCTCTATTTAATTTGCTGCGATTATTAATATTATTAGTGGCATTTATAAGCTAGCCTTGGAGTAATTTTTGTGTTCGGTATGCATGTCTGTGAAAATTACCATGGAAATGCATGGAAATCAAATTTTATTTTCCACACCAACAACCAGTGTGTGTGTGTGTTTGTGTGTGTGTGAATGTTTGTGTGTCAAGCTTTATGTAAATCCAGCTGGAGCATCTACATCAAACAAGCCAAAAAAGATAAATTTAGAAGAATCAGAAGCAAAGACTTCTGAGCTACAAAGTCTGCTGCTTTTTTTAAAAAATGGAAATCGAGTGTGCACAAGCAAATCCACTTGTAAAAAAAGGCTGAGGTATCATTGGTATACCTCATTATACAGTAGCAGCTCTGCTTATATAACCCCCCCCCCTCCTCCCCCCCAGTTAGATCTTTGCTGCCCTCTAGCGCTGAAAACGAAGTGCTGCAGAAAGGTCAAACGGGACAAAGTCAGCTTGGATCAGGCTTCACTGTTTAGGAGATCATGCAACATTAAAGTTATGTAAACATGTTTTTTTTTTTTTTTATTAGTATTTAAATACAGCCTGTGTAGAATAAAAAGCAGTTTCAATTAAGCTGACATCAATGCTGCACATACACAAAAACCACTAACAATAAGTGATATAAATTTATACAGCAATTCCTCTTCTACTAACTACAACCACGCAAAGTAAACAAATACAAAACAGATCTTTACAGCCGTATGTGGGACAGCATGTCATTGCACATCGTGGGCCTGTAATGGTTCATTTGTACCTTTTGCACAAAACTATCGTCGCAATCAGATTTGATACAAATACTTCAGTTTTAAACAGAGGAACGACTGTGAGTTGGTACTCCCTTACAAGCAAAGAACCAACTAACTACATATTAAATCCCACAGGACAATAATTATAAAAAAAAAAAATGTAAATTTTCCATGTAATGTTACATTTAAAGGAATCTGGTAGTACATTTTATACCAAACATATTTCGCTTAATGATTACTTATTTTAATAAATAAATCTTTGATTTGATAGATTTCAACTGCCTTTGCCTCAAAATTATTCCTTCATGTTTATGAGGACAGCAAATCTTTTTTTTTAAGTGCACATGTTTTTGTTTTGTTTTTTTTTAAAGGAAAAAAAGAAAAGAAGAACTGTTGACCTGACAGTGTCACAGCATAAACTGACCACGTCACCACTTAACCTAATCTGAGTTCTGCATATTCATTTCTGTTCAAAGCCTTTAGTCAAATACCTGCTATTACCTGATTTTTAACACCTGTCAACTAAATGAAAAGACGGCAAAGTAAAACAGGCCAACAGACAAAAGACCCATTGTGTTTTCCGTGGAGGTGTGACTCGCTCCGACTCAACAGGAAACTCCTGTTCTTTCTGCAATGAACCGGTATCACTGTGGTTAGTGTCCTCACCTGAATGCATGCAAATGTGGTTAAATCCAGAAAAATCTGTAACTTGAGGAAGAGTTTTAAATTAACTGGTTAATTATTTCATTAATTTATGTAATGAAATAAGGATGTAGATGTAGAAACGTAAAGAACTTGTGAATTATGTTTGGGGGATTTTTCCCTACCAACGACCAGCAGATGGCAGCGTCACGCTCTTTTATACACCATGGTTAAAAATGGAGCCCATCATTCAACTGCAACCAACATGTTTCATTACAACATTTAGTGACAGACAGAAAGCAATCAGACGTTTTTATGCATGAACTATTTTCAGAGAAGTGTATTATTCTTACATAAAATTCATTGATGGTACCCAACAGCTACAGAAATTACCCATAGTGAGCAGGCCAAGACGCGCCGTGAAGAAATGTTTTCACCTTTCCTAATTTTTTTCCCAGCTTATTTCTCATGCTTACATGTTTCAGGTCACCAAACAAATTTTAATATTAGACACAGAAAACTGAAGTAAATACATTTTGCAGTTTTTTTGAACAATGACTTTGCTTACTGAGAGAGGGAAAAAAAAGGTACCCAAACCTACCTGGCACTTGTTTGAAAGACAAATTCCCCCTAAACCTGATAAGTGGTTGTGCCACTGTTGGTAGCAAGAACTGCAATCAAACTATCTGCTTTAGGACCTGGATGACCTGCTGTAATTAATGGAACCATAAATTCTGCTCTCTACCAGAAGATCCTGAAGGAGAATTTCTGGTCATCGTTTCATGGACTGAAGCTCAATCAAACTTGGGTTACGCAGCACGGTGATGATTTGAAACACATCAGCAGGTCCACCTCTGAATGGCTCAAAAACAAACAAACAAAACAAAAAACCCTAAACAAACAAAGTGAAGGTTTGGGAGAAGCCAAGTGAACGTATGAACTTAGATTGAGATACTTCGCCATGACCTTAGTGTTTTCAACTCTTCTTCTGCAAAGAAGAGTGGGCAAAAATCATTGCAAATTATCACAAACACTTGATTGCAGCTCTTGTTGCCAAGAGTGGCACAACCCCTTATTAGGTTTAGGGGTCAGTTACTCTTTCCCACAGGATCAGGTAGATTTGGATAGCTTTTGTTCCCTAATAAATTAAATTGTTATTTAAAAACTGCATTTTGTATTCATTCTGACTCTTTGTATGGCATTAAGATTCGTTTGATGATCTGAAACATGTAAGTGTGACGAATGTGCAAGAACACAAGAAATCAAATCATTTTCACATGATAGAGATAGGGTGATGGTGGTGCGCTGGCAGTGGATTTTCACTTGGGAAAGCAGGGTTCCAATCTTACACAAAGCCAAACGTATATGCCTGTGCTTCTCTGGCCCAAAGTCTTTGTCCAAGCAGGGCTTTCCAGTCAGGGGCCGTTTTTCCTTTTCTAAATCTTATGTCTATTAAAATTTTAAACTGTAACCATAGTTTAATGCCATCATTGATAGCTCTGGCTTCATGTCAGCCTACCAGGTGGGCATCATATCAGGAAACCACATCCGCCCGAGGTGCTTCGACACCTCACTGTGGATCTGCTCTATGTTGTAGCTGCTGTCTGGGATCAGCACCTCCTCCATGATTGACAGCTGTGTCAGCCTGCCCCCGCACATCTTCACAAACTCCACAAAGCCACTGCAGGTCACCTCACACTCGCCGAGCCCGATCGCTGTCAAGCTCTTGCAGCGCTCTGCGATGCGGATTAGCTCCTCATCCAGGGGCTCAATGCCATTGGCGCACACAACCAGCTCCACCAGCCGAGGGCAGTTCAGTCCAATGCGGCCTAGCATCATTTTACTAACAGCTCGGCCAAAGTACAGGTGGGTGACGGGGGTCTCCTCGCAGAAAAAGGGCTCAAACTCCTCCTCATACAGGAAGAAATACATGACTATGTTGACCTTCGGCGAGTGGCGGATCAAAGCCTCCCAGCTGCTCCTCTTGATGGTGTGAAAATGTGTTTGGCCGGGGTTTTCACTCACCACGTCAATGCGCAGGTGTTCCAAGTGAACGTGTTTTTCAGAAGACAGGGCAAGAAGAAGCTCATCACTTAGGAGATGGTAGTTCAACGCCAGCTCCCTGAGGCCATGACACTGGTCTGCCACACACAAGATACCTTTTGAAAAAGAGAGAAGAGTGTCTTAATGTTTTAGAGCCTTTGAGAATGTATATACCTTTATTCAAAGGAGCTTGCAAAGAAAAGCGTCTGGACTTCTTTGAGTTGCTTGAAGACGTTTCACCTCTCATCCGAGAAGCTTCTTCAGTTCTAAGGTCAAATGGTGGAGAGTCCCAGATTTAAACCTAGTGGGAGTATCCCCGCGGAGGGGCAAAAGGACCCAATCAGCCAGGGTTCACAATGAGCTCACCCGAAACCCTGGCTCAGGCGATTAGAGGATCATCAGGGTGTCCTTTTGTCCCTCTGCGGGGGGATACTCCCACTAGGTTTAAATCTGGGACTCCCCACCATTTGACCTTAGAACTGAAGAAGCTTCTCGGATGAGAGGTGAAACGTCTTCAAGCAACTTAAAGAAGTCCAGACGCTTTTCTTTGCAAGCTCCTTTGACTACGATGACCTGGATGACTGAGAACCTTCACAGACATATATACCTTTATATGAGTATGTTAGTTGAGGCACGGTTGTACCCTTAATCACAGACTGTATACTAAAAGGTGTTCATAGCTTCTGGGTATTAAAGGTTTGTCCTTAAAGCTGCATTCTTTCTTGGGCAGCAGGGGTCAACTGTAAAGAAATCTATAAGAAGATAACCTTACTTCTCACTTGCTTTATGGCCACAATAAACACTTTCCTGATGATTTTATGATGGTACGGTACGATTTCACGGTGGGGCCACCTTGTGACTGTCAGGTTACTACCCAACTGGCCTATAGTGTGCTTGGGTTTAGGGTCAGCTCACCTCCCCTGTCATATAGTTTAAAGGGTTCATAATGGGAGTCCATAAGCTGACAGGTGACATCATGTTGCTTATGTTCACCTTCATAAACAGTCTGTGAATTTAATTTTCTTTTTGGCAATCAGTTCCATGCTGAAGTACCTCAGTTCCAAGAAAAGCAAAATTGAGCATCTTGTTGATGAGTATTCACAGTGCCCACTTTGAAGCTAAAATACTGCAGGTGTACTAACCAGCTGGGGAGACATGAGGACAGCTGCTCATCTTCAGCAACTTAAGGGTGTCACTGTTGTTGGCAACCAGCACCTTCAGGGACGGATCATCCACTGGGGTGTCATCGATCCTGATGGAGGATAATGACTTGGAGTTTACGAACACCACCGTCAGGGCAGACACAAAA